AATTAAAAATCCTTATAATTGTTTTCCTTCACAGAAGTGCTTAGCAAAATATAACCTGCTTCTAAGAAGAGGTTTTACTTTTAAGTTTTGATTTCAATAAGATTTGCTAAAATATCGAAAGTGTTTCCATCAGGCTGGAGGGAAATTATTTTGCCATTATCATTTTTTACCATGAGAAAACCAAAGTCATCCAGACCTGTTATTGTAACTTGCTGTGGTGAGGAGCCAGTGTTTAGGGTAACTTTACAGCCACTGAAGAGAAAATAAAAACGTATTTTGATGCTTATAGAAACAGAAAGATTAAAACTGAATAAAAGAATACATGGAAAATAAAAGCAAAGAATGAAAGCTATCAAGAGATGCAAAAAATTAATTGATGAAGTGAAGAAGCAACGAATGGATGAAAAACAAAAAGAAACCTAACAAAAAATGGAATAAATGGATGATGRCTAAAGTAAAATCCTTTATTACATGTATCACTCAGTCAACAATGCTTTCGTTGAAGACCATGTTATTAAAACCATAAACTAAAAGGAATGTGTTATAAACAGGTACCCTTACATCATTCTCAGCAATTYATCCACTAGAGTACATTTAGTGGCCATTTATGAAAGGCAAGTTTTCCCACTTTTATTCCCATTTCTATTCCCAGTCATCTCCTTTTCTTACCCATGCATCCAGTGTTGATAATACTTCTCAAGAAAGCCGTCTCTGCCATCCTTTTGAAATCYATCTACTAGTTCTTCCATGTAACTGATAGTCCTTGCTAAGATGATTTCCCTTTGTAATGGTACCAGGTTTGTCCCATTATCAATGTTATRCTGTTTTATAATTTCATTGATACAAATAGTTGGTTCTTTATTTGACAAATTGACACCCATTCCTGTGGGAAAATAAAAAATAAAATCATGACACTTTGATGTTTTTGCTTTGTCAATCAAAACTCAAAACTTTCAATCAACCAAATAAACTCAAAAATTCAAAGAAGAGCTAAGGTTTCTGTTGAAGTGTTCACAGTTTGAGGGAGCAGTCTCAGAAGCAGTTTTRATTRACAATAATGATAAATGGTGGCTSGKYTTTGRCATTCYGGTTCATAGGTGTTGTTGGAGGTGTATTTACCAATGACAGCACTCARTTTATTGCCTAATGCTGTTGATGAGATGACCACACCACCAATCTTGACACKTTTTCCATAGTAGATATCATTAGGCCATTTAAGACAGATATTGATGTTCTAAAAGAAGAAAAAATAATGTACTTAAAACCTGTAATAAATAGATCAGTTAGACTTTTGGATAAGCATTGAATACAAAGAACTTTTAAATGGCACGGATGGTAACTACTGTAATAATACTAACTTCAAAATTAATGAAATTCAATAAATCAGGCTGGTGTGTCAATTAATAATAATTAATCAATTATCAATTGAAGATTAACAAATRTAATATATATACAATGTAATACTCAATGTAAGTTGTTTACCTACCTCATATCCTGGGATGCATTTAATTGCAAGTATGAAGGCAAGTGATGCAATATGTTGAATRTATGGCAACCTTGAACCAAGYTCACTATCAAACTTTACTTTTACAACAATTGAAAACATCATRCAACCATCAGGCGAGAGCCATGCATTTCCACCACGCCCTTGAAGTAGAATAATTAGTAGTAGATCAATAATACTGATTACACAGTTGCAATCTGTTGTAAAATTGTCAAATTATAGTAAGAAATACTCTAAAAACCTTTTCCTTTCAATTGACGATTTGTCACAGCAACGACACCRGAATTCTTTGGAATGCTCTTCACAAATGTATGGTTTCTGAATATAACATAAAGAGTGGTAAGGAGATGTGGGGAAGAAGAATAACAGCATTAAGAGGAAAAGTCTAACTACAAATACACACAGAATGATAATACATGAACTAACCCTTCAAGAAGTGTTTGTGTAGAGTGAATCACATCAGTATATACAACAATCCTTCCCAGGGTRCRAGTCTTGAGATGCTCWTTATAAATCGTCCAATCAAAGCTATTCAGACAACCAACAAATTRGTTATGTTTTTGAAACAATAAAGCCTTCTGAATTTGAAATATGTACCTTTGTRTTACTGCACTATTATTTCTATTATTTATAATGAGAGGAAGTTCATCCTCTGTTGCTGTGACGGTACTTTCATTACATGTAGATATAKAAAGTGAAATCTTTTGTCCTTTGCACCATCCATYGATGAGATGTGGCTTTAAAYTTTCCATTAGTTCAAACTTGTCCTGGTCACTKGCTAAAAGGTATGCTGGTGTCARTTGAGGAAGWTCATTGGAAGTACACTTCATGTCAAGCTTTTTCATGATGGCCTGRAGCAATGGCCTTGCTTGTTTTTCACAGAAAATATCTACAGCACTCAGAATGGTTTTACTTTGTTTATWTTCATGATAGATCACCACTGGACTACCACTTTTCTTCTCTTTCAATAGTGGTTCAATTTCACTATTCAATCCTGAATAATAATATACTTTATCAATAAAGTATCACTTTGAATAGTTTAGTACCTGGCTGACTGATCAAGACATATTAGTTGTGGAATACAATTTGCAATAGGCTTCCATCAGGTAACCAGAGAACTTTGGTCTTTGCTGCTAGTAAATTGAAAACAATGCCAAAGCTTTTTATTATGACAGTCTTTTGCTTACTCGTCATGGGATTTGTTTGAACTGGTCACATACCAATAGTCTCCTTCACAGTTCCCTGCTCCATCTTGAAAGGTAACTGTGCCTTTACACCGAAGCGAGGCAACTCTTGAGCGTGCAATGATAGATACCTGTGAATAATTGTCTGTAGGTTGAAAAAGAAGGTTTCTATCATTAAATGCTCAATGWTTGCTTGCTTTGATGCAAAGACACCGCTATCTTTCAAGATGGTGTGAAGAAGACTATTCAAATGACTTGTAATAGTGTTACTTGGTTAAAATCACATTGGTAAATACAAGAGTGGATCTATATCATACCAGTGAAGCAGTATGGCTCACAATCAACTTCAAATGTATTCTCTTGTGCATCTARACTGTCCACATTAACATTCAAAGCACAAGTCTTGACAGAATCAAAYTGCAATRCTGTCATCACAGCTCCRTTAATCAACCCATTGCACCCGCAGCCAATGCATAAGCAATTTCCACCAWCTTTGATATATTGCTTGAATTCATYCATRATTTTCTCYTCAATGCCCTCATTGTTGTAAATAATCAATAAAATAGAGTTTTTCGACCAWGGATGACCTAAAACTTTGTTGTCGTCTAAAGGATACACCGTGTAGCTGTCTCTACTGAGGGCGTCATGAAGTCGTGCTTTTATAAGTTCAAATTTACTTTCTCTGTCGTCTTTTCCAGTATATACAAGGATATTAGGAGGTTTAGAAATAAAAGCAGAAGAGTTTGGATGATTCATTTCGCCTGTTTTACGAGCAAAACGTCGCAACGATGACTGGAAAGCTGGTGTTGACGTGTTATGAAAACCCAAAGAAGAATGTTTTGCTAACGCAGTTACAMAATACCCAGCGARCCAAGATCCACTTAGAAAAAACATTYTGTTAMTTCTCAATGAAATAAAACAGTTGAAGATCTTTCTTTGCATCGTAAAGAGCTCTAAACCGAAGGAAGAATACAAGGCCAAAACTGGACATGTCGTCCGCCATATTGACTTTGAAGTTACACAGGAATACCACCAAACAGCACTTGGGCTTCCTGTGGTTTTAACTTAAAATCAAAATACACAACAAACACGACAGTTTCAAATTAATTCAACTGAATATCATATGGATTAATAATATATAYATTGATTAAAACTCAGTAACAACCCTCCCTTTTGCTCTGTTTCCTGGTAGAAACTGCACTATAGAATTATAGAATCCAAAAAAATATTTTTAATAAGAAATTTTTTAATAATAATTGTTGAAATAATAATGTTTTCAAAAAAAAAAAAGAAAAAGAAAGAAGAAAAAAGCAAGTAAAACTCTCACTCTAATGTTATATATATACCCTTGTTCTTTAAATTTGCTTACAAAAAGGTTCTTYATATAAGATAATACTATATTCCACTAGTCCACATTGAAATGTGCTCATAAAGCATCTATAAAATTCTTGCATCACTAGCATTGCTATGAAATTTGAGGATCTATGAAACCTATAAACAAAATCTTGATTATATTTCCACAGCCAGGAATTTTTGAGTTAGTCTAAGAACTCCTTTCAAGTTCAGAATTGYATCGTCTCCAAAGTTATGCAACAAATATTCTCCGTAGTATGAAAGCAAGTGCCGACACAACAACAAACCACATAATTATCAAGGAAATCATTCCCGCATTAGCATTAGGGGAAGGAYCACGATTAACAGGTTGCGGAGCTACAGTTTGTGCATTATTTTGAGTAACTGTCCTTTGCCGAACACCTGAGTCATTAGAAGAGTTCTGATTGGCTACTCCTTGAATATTAGATGCTGAGCTAGCACCTTGATTGGTTGGTTGACTTTGATTGACAGCTGTSGAATCCACTGAAGTGTTATTATTGACTGTAGGAATTTGTGGTCCATATGCATTTGGGTAGCTGAGCATATACATGTAGTATGGGTTGTATGCAGCCATAAATTGTTGTTGGTAGGTTTGYAYCCATGGGTTATTTAGTGGCATGCTGGGATATGTWGGGTAGTTTTCCCCAACTGCTCCCATTGCTGTAGGMATTGAATCTGTTAATGCTGGTGCTGCGGGTTGAGGYGTCTCTRCCTTGGTTTCTTTCTCTTTCTTAACTTTGTCTTCATCCTAAAAGCAAAGCATAGAAACACTATGAATTTATCAATAAGCCATATATTTGGCTTTCTCTGTCTACCTGTGTTGGTTTAAATTGCAACCCAGGAACACAAGACAACATTAATAAAGACCWATAACAATGATATGTACCAAACGTCATATATKACATCAATACCAGGTATTAGGGTCCATAAAAAATTGTTTCTTACAAAAACTGCATTGMACAGTRCCATWKA